GCGAACGGTTCATCCATACTATGTCAACTTCATCGTCTCCCTGCATGGCCCACTTGCTGCCCTACAGGCAGGTGTAAACCATGGCTATTATCTTCCTTCGGGCGGTGTTAGTCAGTGCGCTACCACTAACAAGCTTTCGCACACTGATAGATTTGAGACATTTCAGGACTACTATGCGAAAATTTGTTTTTGCTCCTTTGTCTTTATGGTTTACATATTTTTGTATTTTGTTACCGGCCACTCTTATAATTTAGCGTTGTCAATGCTACCACAAGGGAAATAAACATATTGATTGATTGACTGATTGATCGATTGACTGACTGATTGATTGATTGATTGATTGATTGATTGATTGATTGATTGAATACTTTTGACAGTTCCATGAATGGAGTCAGTCATCTATCAACTCAAGGAACAAATTATTTTATATTAAAGCGTTTGCAACCGTTTCAAGGCTTGTTCTTCTTAGATCACGGCTCAAAATTGAAAATTCTTTTCACAAAAAGCTCTGTCAGTTTGTGACTCATGCAATTACCTTTCTTCTTTACAGCTTTGAATTATTGAAAAGATCCTGGAAAAACGGTAAGGCTTACCACAAGCCAATTGAAACATATAAGAGATGCGCCCTGAGAAACGTGATTAAAAGGACCATCTCTTCTCCACACAGAATAGTGAAAGAATTTCCACTGATGAGCCAAGTTGAGTGAAAGAAATTTAGTCTAATAATCGCTTCTGTTAACTTCAGACACAGGGATAAGCCAGTTACATTAATTTACTGTTATAACTTCAGCTTTACGTTTGGATTGAGCATCTCTTTGTGATTGTTGCATTAAGCGAATCGCTTCCCTTAGGTAACTTAGCCTGTGACGTACATAATTTAAGTTAAAACTTCACTCCACACAAGCCACTTATTACTCAGCCACTCTTATCGCGTGATATCGTGGTTTTCATATGGGCAAAATTTTGCCCATATGTAAAGCTATTAAGTTCGACTGAGCCGGTCAAATTTAATAGTTGGGCCGACCCATAGCAAATTCGTCGAATTTAATTGATTCAAAAATCGAACTTCTCATGTGCCGAATCTAATGCATAAATTATTTCAATATATTTCCCACCCACAATCCTCGAACACGGAAAAGCATCAAGAGTCAAATGTAATTCGACATCTCAATCAACGTCGAATTTTAATTCATTTCGGTCGAACCAAATAGGCATTTGATTCGGCGCATGAAGAATTCGACGTTTGAACTAGACCTAAGTGATTTTTCGGCAAAAAGAAGAAAGTCAGGGAAATCCAGTATTCAGAACTGCAGTCCAATCCAAATTGAAATTTTCCCAATCTCCTCAAGCTGAACAGGACATTTCGTTTGATCTTATATAACCTGTTGAGTGATAAGATATTCATACTAGACTTCTATCCGCCCGAACAGGAGGAACGACCAGTAGAAATAAAGTCATGAGCTGCAAAAGTCTCTGTTTTCGTACAGTTAAACATAATTGATATGTTTTGTTCATCTGAAAAAGGTCCCCTTTTTGGGCGGAGCCTCTCCATATAGTCCACTATAGGGAGTATCCCCCTCCCCGAACTTATCTGCAGAAATCTTACTCCACTTTATCTTTTTTTGGCGTTATCTTAGACGACGTATTTGCAAACAGTTCAGAAGTGATAACTACTTCCTCTGAAGATTACTTCTCTTGACATTTCAAAGAAATTCCAGTACTTAACGTTTGCAGATGAACGTCCAGTATTTATTTCCAACGAACCTGTGGCAAACACCGAACGCGATCCATTCAACCCAGCTTTCTGGACTACGTATTGAGCGAGCCGATATATCGGACGGCGAACGACAGAACGTCAATCAAGTGTCGGTGAAATGACGGTGAAATGTCAGTAATGTATCGGTAGCTTTTCATCGAGTGGCGGTCGATGGTCTGTATCGGTAGACCAGCGGTCGACTCTCGGTCGACAGTCGATCGACATGTCGGTCGCGTATCGGTCGAATGTCGATTGAGTAACGATGGATATCTCGACGATGCATCGGTCGATATATCGATCGTGGTACACTGAAAGATACATGATCCATTTTGCCCACGTATTCGTGTTGCTCACATCAGCGGTTCACTATACTGAAGTACTGCGCTGAATAATTAATTAAAGCGTGACCATCAACTGTTTACGGACCGTGGGAACATGGAGAATTCTATACCGTATCGATTGTTGACATTTAGAAACTGACTTAAACGTACATGTCTAACGCGACCAACAAAGGAATAGAAAACTTCCAATAAAAACCTTGGGAGAATGACTATTTAACTATCACCTAACCCAGCTAGCAGTCACCGATTCCGATTGTTTCACCACTAAAAAGCGATATTCAACTTTCTAACAAAGCATACAAATATTTTCAACCTTAAAAAACAAACTTCCTCATCGACCATCAATCACTCAACAACTGGAAGGGAAACTGAAGAGAACGAGAGAACGACGCAGAATCGGTCGTCAATAAAAACAAAAAGCAAAACAAAAATCCCTCACTCTAGCGATCTTCCCTAAGAGAAGGTCAATACCTCAGTCGATCATGGGTAAGTGGATTGATCGATAGATAGACTGACAGGCAGATAGACAGCCCGATGTGACGAAACACGAATAGATACGAAACAATAGAGCTGTACAACCCATCTTTACACTCTGGAACTAAGCCAGACTCACCTCTTGGACACGGCTCCTTTGTTCCTGTAGACAGTTCAAAATAAAGTTACTGTAGGAAAATCGACATGAATTGCACAGCGCAATGGAAGCAAGTTGTACATATCATTCTTTCCATATAGAATATGACGCAACGTCACATTCTATATCAACAGCATTGAGCGGAAATTGATTCAAGAACAGTTTATACCTCCATATGTTTAAATAACTAAAGAATGAATAAAAAGAAGGCACTATTCTCCCGCCAAGTATGGAGTGTCAAAACAGTATACTAACCACCAACAACGTTTTTTTCTGTTGAAGACACCTTACAAAATTCCAGAAACCAAGAAACACCGGTCCGAGGTCAACCTCTTTCATATGAAAAATACCAAGCCAAAAGCACTCGCACACACACAAACAGAGTAAACGTTTTCACGTAGCCAGGTAAACGAGAACAGCTTCTCAATTCAACATCAAAACAATTCTCTATTTGATACGCGCATGTCACGTTCAGATTTTATATGTTAGTGAACAATTTCAAATGCAAAAAAACTTAGGGAAAGAAAACCAGTCATTTATGGAATTTTCTTAGGGAGTAAAAGTTTCAGTGTGACCGTATCAGCTAGGGCATCCAGAGTCTGTCCGGTAGCAATTCCTCCTGTCAGTTCTACACCATAACAGCCCATGTAATTCCCTCGATAAATTTCCCTCTCGTGCACTAGATTGCATTTACAATGGTAAACAGTAGCAGAAGCATAGCTGAAAATGGTTGGTATAGATTTTTTTTTCTGAGGAGTGGTGTGACTCTACACGACGATTTGGTGAAGTTGGGTTAAAATGAGCAGGCAGAGCTCTGTCACACAACAATAACATCGCCAAAAAATGCATATTTCGTAAGAAGATTAAATCATTTTGTTGAAATATGTTGCATTCAGATTCAGCGTAATAACATGCAAACATTCTGTAAATCCATGACTAACGGTTTAATGGTAGCTATATAATGAAGACGTGAGTGATCGTCGCAGTTACGAACAATGACTTGAATTCAGGTTTGTACGGGAGTCGAAGCCGCGACCCCTGCGTTACCGGTGCAGTGCTCTAGATTGCTTGCCTGTTTTACTTGAATACATTAAAAGACAATCAAAAACAAAATATTTCACGACTTTTTCCTATTTTTTTGGCTTGTTTTTGTTTTGTTTTGGTTTTTGGCTATTTCTTTGTTTTCCAGTTGTGTTTTCATGGTTCTGAGGGGTGCATATGCGATATTGCTTCAGGAGCAGGGGGGAGGAACACTCAACAGCCATATTATTGGATAGTTTGAGGGCT